CAAAAAAAAATCTTTTATATCTTTATTAGCAATCTAAAAAAAGATGTCGATTCATATTATAACGTTATATTTAGAGCAGCTTTAGCTTCTTGTCACACTTAGCGTGATGAAGGCTCCCGCTCAATTAAGGTCTTCGATGCACTAAATGAGCGGGAGTTTTAAAATGTACAAAACAAATCCCAAAAATACTAAGAATTAAAAAATATTTTATAACTTTATTAGCAATATAAAAAAAGATGTCGATTCAATATTGTAACGTTCTATTTCGAGCAGCTTTAGCACACTTAGCGTGACGTAGGCTCCCGCTCAATTAAGGTCTTCGATGCACTAAATGAGCTACTCTGCGAATAGAGCATTTACAAAAAAAAATACACAAAAAAATTACAAGCACGCGCCTGCATCGGAGTTGACTGTCTTTCTGAGGGACAAAACTGAATCACGGCTCACGCTATAAAAAAATATTCACGCCTCATGGCTAATTTTTTCGCATTTTCACGACTAACGGCTAATTTTTCAGCCGTTTCATGGCTCACGGTTAACCCCATTGAGACCCTCTTAGACCAGTGCAAATATAATCACCAACGGCTTATAAATCTTGCATTTCTTTATTCCAAATAGGAGGAGCCGACGGGTTTCTGGGAGAAATATATCTGTTCTTATGTCCCATCCAGCTGTAAGTCACAACTGGTTGCCAGCGAGAAATGGGAAACAAATCCAAAGAATACTTTATAAGCATTTTTGCCAGGAAAATAGAAATTTCTTAACAAAAAAATAAAAGCCGTTTTTGACCATAAAAATGTTATACAGTCAACTCTCGTAAGCGACCACCTCGGGATCAGGAAAGAGTGGTCGCTAACGAGCGAATAAAAAAACGCTTACGAGAACTTTAGCACAGGAAACCCAAACAATGACAATCATAACACAGGAGGCCCAAATAGTACAATTTCAATCCCAAAGGTGGTCGCGGTCGCCTACTAGAGTGGTCGCCTACGAGAGAGATTTTTTATATATGTACAGAGTTTATATGGGAAACAAAACGGGAAATTGTCTATTACGAGAGTGGTCGTTCAAAGGCGGAGAGTCAACCAAGCCTTTTTGACCTTACAACATTTGCCAGGAACAAAATTATTTTAAAGAAGGAAGGGTGCCGACCAATATCATTGTCAGCAACGTTGTTCAAAATTCATTTCCCAGGAAAAAAAATCGTACAAGAACAGTAATTTAGAAGAACAGACCCCGTCGGCTCTCTCGAAACTGAATGACCAATTATTGCTACTTTTGGACTTTGTTCTTAACAATGAAACTATGATCAAGCTGTTAGTTGTGCTGATTGTGCTGAGACTGGGTGCCCTGTGACATTTTTAAAGACTTTGTCTTCCACAGGAAACACACTTAAAAAAAAATACACTGCTACGTCTGTGAATCCACTATAAGGGCATCCTTGTGCACTATAATAAAAAAAAAGTAGTTGTGCTTTAGGGACTACAACTGTAGCTATCTTGTTTAAAATCAGTAAAAAAATCTACTGAACTGACTTTACCTTTTACAGCACAAGAGAACACAGCAACAAATAAAAAAAACAAATTAAAATCCCGAAGRCTGAAAACTGAGCTTGGTGACGTGCGTGAGACCAAAAAAATTTTGCCAATGATTTCCAGATTGTCTTCATGTGGAATAATATATTTTTCATGAAAAAAAAACTTTCGTAAAGAGTATAGTTTCACGCAATGACAACCAGAATGCAGATAAAAAAAAAACTCGAAGAGACGCATGTTTTTCCTTCTTTTCTTTTCTTTCTTCTTTTTCTTTAAAAAAAGTCAAGAATTTTCCTCTGGGAAGGTGATTATCACTCTATATGGCTATGGAATTATAAGCAATATTTCATATTTTAAAATTTTAAATTTTGCTAATTGAACATTATTTTGTAAAAAAAAGCAATAGTTAGCCTCCTTTGCAGACTTTATTAGTATCGGTCATACGTTTAACAAAAAAAAAGGAGGCTAAGCAAGATTAGTCATTTAATGCGATGAACAGCTTCTAGTTAAAAAAAAAACTGTATGTTTGTTCATACGAATGCACAAGTAGTTGTATCTCAAATAATAAAATAGAGATTATACAAAACCTGTTTTGACTTTTGTACATTTTTAATGTTCTCATTTTGTAAAAAAAATGAGGTACTTCCTGTTTATGCGCCCGCGATATAACAGCCAGTGGTAATCCCCAAAAAAAATCAAATATTTCATAGCGGGAAGCCGAAAAGCAGTGAAAAGTCGGATTGTTTTTGCCATTTGGCTTTAGTTTGGGCTCTGGATTTGAAATCTTTCWTACATATCTTTGTTCAAAAAAAAGTGTGTTCATTGTTATTGAGAAAATATGCTGTTATATTTAGATAATGACGCAAAAAAAGCTCAAATGCAGCGTTCAAAGTCTACAAAGTTCAAACAGATTCCGAGGAGATGTCGACGAAATCCCACATGATTTTAGCTCTTTTGGGTTTTGGACTTATATTGGACCCCTTGTAAGGTAGCCTGTTGTTGTTTCGTCTCGTCAAGCACCGTTTCACATCTGATTTGTGKAAAAAAATTTGAGAATTGGTCATGAATCGATCGCGTTGACATCATTTGTTAGTCATCGAATTATTAGCGTAGCCCTTGTTAACTTATGCAGATTTTTGGCAACTCGTGTCAATATTTATTCAATGTGGGATTGCTTGGCATGTTGACGTTAAAGAAACTTTGATTGAGTYTATTTGTAAAAAAAACAAACATCTAGAGTGAAAGCAAGATGGCTTCGAAACCAACTGTACTTTCTGGTATGATCCTTCATTGATCTTTCATTGAAATAACGTAAAACAACTTTCATCTCTGCTTTTTCCTTATTTTAAAATGCTTTTTTGTATAGCTATGGGATCAGGTTTCCTCTCGTGATTCACGTTAAGGCTTCTTTTCAAATTCAATCAACATTATACGTTGGTTAATATTAGGAAATAAAAAAAAGTTATAGTACATGTATGCATTAATCAATATCTGTGTATTTCCAGACGGAAGCAAAAAAATATTGCTATATAAGTTAGTACTCTTATTATTCGTGCACAAGTGTACTTTGGTAAAAAAACCTGTTTGTTATCTAATCCTATTTGCCTCTGTTGATTCATGGCTTCTTCATCAAAAAAATTATAATCAACTCTTTAATCTAACTGCATTTCATCAAATGTTATTGTGGTTGAAAAAAACTCACAATTAGATTGGGAATCAATCTAATTAACTATCAAAATCCAAGGATTAAAAAAAAATTAATTTAATTAGTTGGATAACCCTGGAGTTTGACTAAATTATATGAAGAAAGATTTATTGATCATTGGTTACTAAATCAGATTTCTGATAAAGATTTTTTGGCATTTTGAAAAAAATTATTATTTGCAATTGAGTTGCATTTTGCATTAAMCATGSATGTACTATGCAAAAAAAAGTTGCATGACTGATCTAACTCACGTGTATAAAAAATAATGGAGTTGAACTGAAAAAAAATTGTACATGTTACATCCAAACTGCCATGGTATAGCTGATAAAAGTTTCAATGAAAAAAATCATCATAAGAAATGACATTCTATTCTACACTACACAAACTCAATACATGTTAAAAAAAAATTTTTCATGAAGGTTATATTACAGCTATAATCCTGTACTGTCAAGAATTTAAAAAAATCTATCATTTTTAAAGAAAAAACATGTTTATAACATGACAACTTACATGAAAGATGAACCTTATCATGATTATTAACATTTTAAAGTTTTCCATTTGCTGTCAGCTACATTAAAAAAAATGTTTTCATCATTTTTATTAATATGGATTTATAAAAGGATCATTTAATGGAAAAAAAACCTGTTGTATCCTGTTTGTTTCAGGGTTATCATTGATCTTTATTAATACTATAAAAAAATCACCACATTGAATCGAATGAAATTAGCTCAAATTGAATTCAGTTTTCATCAAAAAAAACTCACTGAGCCCTGTTTTTTTTTTTATCCCCACTGTTCAACAGTTCTGTGTTAAAAAAAATAAATGAATCCTCTGCGTAAGATCTTACGTGTACTCTACCTTGATAATGGCAAAAAAAGCCGAAAGCTTGGTATTAAAAATATCACTAGCTAGTAAACGCAGAGGATTCAAAAAAAATTTTTAGTAATTATGCCTGCGTACAAAGAAATTCTAAGTTCTGTGTTTATTGAAAAAAATATTTTATTACTTGAAATGTAATATGCTCTGAACTGTGCATACTTCCCACAAAAAAAAAGAAAAGATGATGTGAACGGGGCATGAGGTATAGGTCCAGACTGTATTCTGACAAAAAAATAGAAAGAAAGAAAAAACCTTGTAAAAGAACACTTTAGCAATTGACTTTATTAAAAAAATCAGGGCATAGTTATGTGAAATATTTTGCTCTTGGTAACTTGATTGTTAGAGAAAAAAAAAGTCAATTACTTTCTAGTTCATRTCTCCCACTCTGTTATTAAGCTACTGTAAAAAAAAATTTTTAACTGTTCCTGTCGTTTTATCACAGGGAAGCAAGATGGCTCACTTCAAAAAAAAAAGATTTGTTGAGGATCTTCAAGMACAGAGTCCCAGGACATTAATAGTTCAAAAAAAAGCAAGAGGTTCAAATTATTTACATTTTTGTCTGGGTTTAGTTTGCCTGTATCAAAAAAACAATTTCCTTATTACAGTATTTTAGGTATTTATTGATATTTTATATCACATTAAAAAAATTATTTTTTATCATTTTAGGCTCAAAATGAACTTTTTGAATTACTTGGAAAAAAAAAAATAAGGACAGCAATTCTTTATCCATCCTTTTCCTATTTAAAAGTTAATATTAAAAAAAAATGTAATTTTGTTTTAATTCATAGAGTGTTGATCCATGTGTTGACATTAATAAAAAAAAAACTATCTGTTTTGGCCCTAGAATTCTTTCCATAGCACTCAGAATCCTCTGTAAAAAAAAAAAAGTTTTAATGTTTACAGACTTGTCCGCTAATTTTGAGAACCCTGATGTCAAAAAAAAGTTGTACGATGGGCTATATAGCTATTCACTGGATAATTCCTTATCCAGCTGAAAAAAACCGGTAAAAAATCAAAGGAGCAGATATCTTTGTCCACCCTTTGTACAACTGGAAAAAAACGTTAATTCAAAAAATCTCTTCTGACTTCAAATGTGTAGTAAATATTACATGAAAAAAATTTTTTGAAGCAATTTTTTGTTTATTTCTATCAAGTCTGATCGTCTTGATGAACAGAGGTGTGACCCGCCAACTGTATTGATTAATAACGTCAGTGAAGATAGTCATTCAGAAGAGGAATTTATAGACGGAATTACAATGCCAGAGGTAGGCAGTTGTATCTATCAATCAAAAAAAATGATCACTCTCTCATCCTTTTGTTATTCCACCCATTATTTCATCCATTTATTTATTCCATTCTTCACTTTCTCATTATTCATTTATTATAAAAGTTATCAAATAATTTCTTAAAAAAACAGATATTTTGTTATCCATTCATTATTCATTCATTCTTCGCTTATTTGACGCAAAAAAAAAAATTTTCATCCATCCATTTATTTATTTATTTAATAAATCTCTTTTTGCTAAAAAAAATCATGGAGTAAAGAAACGTGATAGCATTGACATCGAACCAGTGAAAAAGGTAAAAAAAATTCTCTGTAATCTTTGCAATCAAGTGCAGATGTATTGTAAAGTATTAAAAANATACAATGCGCGCTTTAATTGGCTGACGACCGTGTTTATTTCAGAAGAAAAAGAAACAGCTTACCGGCAAAATTTGTCTTTCCCTCGAAAAACGCTACGCTCGTGTTTCTAAGCTTGCTTCTCTCGTGTTTTTCAACTCCCACCGTGTTTATATAAGAGGGTGCAAAGACGCGTGCGCCGTTTTATATTTCTTGAGTAGTGTATACACTTCCCTCTGCTCTTGTTAACTTTGAATTTTGCAAATCTGCTTTTTGGGCTCCTTCCTCACAACCTGACAAAAGCAACTAAGAAGACACTTTCTTTATTGATCAGTAGACTTTATTGAACAGTTTTTTTTTTCAGAAGCGCATGTTCTGCAACGTTCATTTTTTTTTTGTCTTAGGAACATTTAAATTTTATGTGTGATGATGAGAGGCTGGGGCCAACTATCTTGTCAATCAAACAAGAGAAATCACCGGAAGTGGATTCACAAGGATTCATCCGGGTGATCTTAAGGTATTGCTATGTCAACATATCACGATTTTAATAAACTTTTAAGAGTACATGTACTATAAGTCTCGTTGTTGATTTTGATGTTTCATTTTGCTGCTAATCAGGACAAGTGAGAAGACTATTGCCGACTTATTGCCAATTGAAAACCTATCTGAAAACTACGGACCAAGAGAGATTATTAAGGTAGCAAATGCGACTTGTCCTTGTATCAATTGACAGTCTGTGTAGTGATGCCATTTTGTACAACAATTTGCGGTTGGAAATGCGCAGACTTCTGATAGAATAATCCACAAAGTTGGAACTGCTTGCATTTTTGAAACTAAAAAAAACAACAAAAAACAAAAACAAAAAATCATCATTCAAACTGATATGCAAAGCACAAACATGCTTTTTAGTCTTATGAAAATGGAGGCCTTATTTCCATTATTTGTTCTTGCTAAATTTGAACAACGAAAAATCCATGCTAATTTTGTTGATTCCCTTTATCTACCATATAATACTTACCAGTTGAATTCCCTTTATCTACTATATAGTACTTACTAGGTGATGAGATTGAGGCTTTTGATCAGTTTCAAGTCGTAGCCTATCCGCGGGTGAGTGATCCATCTTAATTTTATTAATTGCCGAAACTTTTAGTTGGTGGGCACAGTTTGGCCTTCTTAATTTCATGCAAACATCCCTATTTATTACTCTTTATTCACACATACAAACAAAGAAACAAATAAAAATTTATGTAATGAAAAAATAAGAATTTTTAGTAGACTTTATTGTAGTTTTTCATTAACTTTGCCTTTATTCAAGCCTTTATTCAAGTTGAAAATATTTTCCCGCGCATTTTCGTTACACGCGTGCATTTTTATCTGCGCACTCGACTGTGTATCATTTAAAATCCCCACTTCTGATTTTACATATCTTACTAATGTAAGAATTTTGTCATTTTTACAGGACTTATTCTTTGACCCCGAAATGTCTTCTAATTAGTTTTCTTAGATTAATAGATATACATTTGGATATTTATATTTTCAGGCGTCCGAGCTTGTTGTGAAGTTTGACGAGCATATGTCGCTTCCAGCATTTAAGTTTGGTATCATATATCAACAATTTGGACAAGTAAGGGCTTTGTAATTTGTCAATTCGACCATATATATTTTCATTATTATTTTTGGGGTTTTACTTTCTTAGGGAATCTATTTTTGCTTCGCTTTACAATGTTTCCAAGCTAGCTAAACGAAAGCAAAACAAATTTGAACAACAACATTTGGGGCAGCTGCACCCAAACAAACGACTAAAGGCCTGGGGACGAGGTTGAACCTCGAGGGGGAATGTAGCGCCCAACTCGTATCCACAATAAGTTAACTTTGTAATTCTTTTCTCTCAACAGATTACAGAAGAGGAATATTTCAATAACAAAACTCACGGGTCTGCTATGAATGAGTTTCTAGACATTCTTGGAGCAAGAGTGTGTCTCAAGGATTTTCAAGGGTACTTTACTGTTAATCTCCTCTATAGAGTCAATTTCATATGAGTGGGAAACGAACGGTACTGTACTGTAACCGTAGTCGTACTTTAACCAAATTCTAGTGTCTGATTGCTTCACAAAAACTGTACAGGCCAGGTCCGGTAACTGTGCGGTAACCGTGCGGTAATATCTACCGGGACGTTTCCCACTCATACGAAATTGACTCTATTACAAACTTTCAGTGTTAGTCTTCATATAATGTGTATCACTACTGTTATTAAAGCTTTTCTATAGCTTTACATTGCTCTAGCCTTCGTAAAACCGTTTTTTTCCCGGTTTATCCAGCTAGGCGAAGGTTAGCGTAGCGCCCTGCCGACCAGATTTCGCGTACATGTATGTCTGATATGTATTACGGCAAGTACAACACTTCAATGTCACGGAACCTCACCTTGCTTTGAAAAACGTCATAAGTAAAGAATTTAGAAACTCTCACGGCTACACTACTTTATGTCACTCCAAGAACTATAAGTGCCTTCGATTTTACACTATTATGAGTCAAAGCAACTCATTCTAGAGCTGCATAAAGAACTGTGAAATATATCCCAAAGACTTTTAACTTTTGTACGGCTCACGTTTTGTGGAAAATCATTTTTCTTTCTTTCTAGGTTTCATGGTGGATTAGATGTCAAATACGGTCAAACTGGTGAAACGTCGGTACACACAGTGTTTAGTGGGAAGTGAGTATTTTTAGAGCTTATCGATAGTCTCTTTCTCCGGTTACGTGCGCCATCTTGAAAGGTAGCCGTACTTTAACATCGAAGCGAGACAACCGTTGAGCGTGCAACGATAGATAGAAACCTGTGAATAGAGCGGATTTCGTATGAGTTGGACACCGTTAGCGCACGGTTACCGCACAGTTACCGGACCTGGCCTGCACAATTTTGGTGAACCAATGGGGCACTAGAATTTGGTTACAGTACGATTACGGTCACAGTACAGTACCGTCCGTTTCCCACTCATACGAAATCCGCTCTANTCACTGTAATTCATGTTAATTTGTGTTGGAGTTTTATAAGTCGTTTACAACATTCGCGTCCGTGTTGTATGGGAATTACAATCTCTCGCCTGCGGCTCGAGATTGTAATTCCCATACAACACGGCCGCTCATGTTGTAAACTATACTTGTAAAATTTTTAATATACAATGCGCGCTTTAATTGGCTGACGACCGTGTTTATTTCAGAAGAAAAAGAAACAGCTTACCGGCAAAATTTGTCTTTCCCTCGAAAAACGCTACGCTCGTGTTTCTAAGCTTGCTTCTCTCGTGTTTTTCAACTCCCACCGTGTTTATATAAGAGGGTGCAAAGACGCGTGCGCCGTTTTATATTTCTTGAGTAGTGTATACACTTCCCTCTGCTCTTGTTAACTTTGAATTTTGCAAATCTGCTTTTTGGGCTCCTTCCTCACAACCTGACAAAAGCAACTAAGAAGACACTTTCTTTATTGATCAGTAGACTTTATTGAACAGTTTTTTTTTTCAGAAGCGCATGTTCTGCAACGTTCATTTTTTTTTTGTCTTAGGAACATTTAAATTTTATGTGTGATGATGAGAGGCTGGGGCCAACTATCTTGTCAATCAAACAAGAGAAATCACCGGAAGTGGATTCACAAGGATTCATCCGGGTGATCTTAAGGTATTGCTATGTCAACATATCACGATTTTAATAAACTTTTAAGAGTACATGTACTATAAGTCTCGTTGTTGATTTTGATGTTTCATTTTGCTGCTAATCAGGACAAGTGAGAAGACTATTGCCGACTTATTGCCAATTGAAAACCTATCTGAAAACTACGGACCAAGAGAGATTATTAAGGTAGCAAATGCGACTTGTCCTTGTATCAATTGACAGTCTGTGTAGTGATGCCATTTTGTACAACAATTTGCGGTTGGAAATGCGCAGACTTCTGATAGAATAATCCACAAAGTTGGAACTGCTTGCATTTTTGAAACTAAAAAAAACAACAAAAAACAAAAACAAAAAATCATCATTCAAACTGATATGCAAAGCACAAACATGCTTTTTAGTCTTATGAAAATGGAGGCCTTATTTCCATTATTTGTTCTTGCTAAATTTGAACAACGAAAAATCCATGCTAATTTTGTTGATTCCCTTTATCTACCATATAATACTTACCAGTTGAATTCCCTTTATCTACTATATAGTACTTACTAGGTGATGAGATTGAGGCTTTTGATCAGTTTCAAGTCGTAGCCTATCCGCGGGTGAGTGATCCATCTTAATTTTATTAATTGCCGAAACTTTTAGTTGGTGGGCACAGTTTGGCCTTCTTAATTTCATGCAAACATCCCTATTTATTACTCTTTATTCACACATACAAACAAAGAAACAAATAAAAATTTATGTAATGAAAAAATAAGAATTTTTAGTAGACTTTATTGTAGTTTTTCATTAACTTTGCCTTTATTCAAGCCTTTATTCAAGTTGAAAATATTTTCCCGCGCATTTTCGTTACACGCGTGCATTTTTATCTGCGCACTCGACTGTGTATCATTTAAAATCCCCACTTCTGATTTTACATATCTTACTAATGTAAGAATTTTGTCATTTTTACAGGACTTATTCTTTGACCCTGAACTGTCTTCTAGTTAGTTTTCTTAGATTAATAGATATACTTTGGATATTTATATTTTCAGGCGTCCGAACTTGTTGTGAAGTTTGACGAGCATATGTCGCTTCCAGCATTTAAGTTTGGTATCATTTATCAACAATTTGGACAAGTAAGGGCTTTGTAATTTGTCAATTTGACCAGATATATTTTAATTATTATTTTTGAGGTTTTACTTTCTTAGAGAATCTATTAGTTTTGTTTCACTTTACAATGTTTCCTGCAAGCTAGCTAAATGAAAGCAAAACAAATTTGAACAACAAACTTTGAGGCAACTGCACCCAAACAAACGGCTAAAGGCCTGGGGAGGTTGAACTTAGAGGTTGAACTTCGAGGGGGAATGTAGCGCCCAACTCGTATCCACAATAAGTTAACTTTGTAATTCTTTTCTCTCTACAGATTACAGAAGAGGAATATTTTAATAACAAAACTCACGGGTCTGCTATGAATGAGTTTCTAGACATTCTTGGAGCAAGAGTGTGTCTCAAGGACTTCCAAGGGTACTTTACTGTTAATCCCCTCTATAGAGTGAATTTCGTATGAGTGGGAAATGGACGGTACTGTACTGTAACCGTAATCGTACTTTAACCGAATTCTAGTGTCTCATTGCTTCACAAAAACTGTACAGGCCAGGTCCGGTAATTGTGCGGTAACCGTGCGGTAATTTCTACCGTGCGTTTCCCACTCAATACGAAATTGACTCTATTTCAAACTTTCAGTGTTCGTCTTCATATAATGTGTATCACTGCTGTTATTAAAGCTTTTCTATACCTTTACAATGCTCTAGCCTTCGTAAAACCGGTTTTTCCCGGTTTATCCAGCTAGGCGAAGGTTAGCGCAGCGCCCTGCCGACCAGATTTCGCGTACATGTATGTCCGATATGTATTACGGCAAGTACAACACTTGTTAATGTCACGGAACCTCACCTTGCCTTGAGAAACGTCATAGTTTAAAAATTGAGAAACTCTCACGGCTACACCACTTCACTGTCACTGTAAGAAATTTCGTCAGAAGTAACTCATTGCTAGAGCTGCATAAATTACTGGAAAATATCTCTCAAAAGACCCGCTTTCACTTGCGAGTTTCAAACATGCTTGAAAATTGGGTGCAACTTCGCAGCGATTTTCCATCGTCGCAACACTCGCAGGGCTGTTTACACGTACGATTTAATTTGAGCGATAGCAAAGTGGTGATTATCGCTGCAAAAGTGTAGATTGGCCTAAAGACTTTCACTTTTGTACTGCTCGTTTTGTGGAAAGTCCGTCATTTTTCTTTCTTTCTAGGTTTCATGGTGGATTAGATGTCAAATACGGTCAAACTGGTGAAACGTCGGTACACACAGTATTTAGTGGGAAGTAAGTATTTTTAGAGCTTATCAATAGTCTCTTTCACCGGTTACATGCGCCATCTTGAAAGGTAGCCGTGGCTTTACATCGAAGCGAGACAACCGTTGAGCGTGCAATGAAAGAAACCTTTGAATAATTGTCTGTAGGTGTGAAAGAAAGTTTCTATCATTGCACGCTCAACGGTTGTCTCGCTTCGATGCAAAGGCACGGATACCTTTCAAGATGGCGCGCCTTACCGCGAAGGAGACTATTCATCCATCCCCACCCCACCCTTGTTGTTTATCAAAATATTTGTCAATGTGTGCCCTTTTTATTTTCCAGTTTTTAACAATATGCTACAATTCTTTTTCTTAGGGAAATTATGTTCCATGTATCGACTCTGCTTCCTTATTCAAGCGGCGATGCACAACAGGTAGAGCAAAATAACGTAAAATGAAATTCATTGGCCCGATCTCCTTCCCAGGTCTTTTCCTAAACAAGGGAAAAGAAACAAGGAACGAATTGTCATAAATCTCTGGTTTATATTCATATGAATGCATCAGTCTATTGAAAACACAAAACAAAAGTCCCAACTTGCCTGGAACAGCAGGAGAAAAGCCCTCCGTTCCTTATGAAGCCTCTGTATGATACATAGATTAATGGAATATAGATTGATACTCAAGACCTACGGTAAAACAATATTTTTTTTGTATCAGGTGCAAAGAAAAAGACACATTGGAAACGATATTGTCTCTATAGTTTTTCAGGTAACTCAATGAAATTGTCTGATAGGTGATTAGATCTAGAGTATTTTTTTACCAAACAGTTGTTTAAAAACATAAACTTAACACCGTAAGAAAGTAGGTGAAATAACTTACTGACGTTTCGGACGTTAATCATTTGTCGGAGTAAAGAGACGAAGATAAGGAGTGCTAAGTTTATCTTTTTACTCAACTATTTCTTTAGAAACATCGACGCAGCTCACACTAGTTTACCGCTAGTTCCCACCGTTTTAATCTATTGCAATCATGTTTCTGTCGGTGTAACATACTGCATATTAAACGAATACCTCTTTTTTTTCAGGATGATAATACTCCTTTTTCGCCAATTTCTATTCGTTCTCATTTTCTGCATGTTTTCATTGTCGTTCAAGTGGAAAATCCAAATACAAGCAATACAAGATATAAGGTATATAATAGCCGACTTGCGAATTACGCATCAATAGTCACATACAAAGGAATCAAGACGAGGCGCCGTGCTAAAGACAATAGATTTTTCACAAAAAAGCACGGGGCCTCGTCTTGATTCCTTTGTATGTGACTATTGATGCGTAATTCGCAAGTCGGCTATTCTATCTAAGTGGTATGGTAAAGAAATGTTATGTGCCGACGGTCTACAAGCATTAGAAACTCACTATCCTTGTAATTTTATGCTTCGGTCCCTTGTGACGCCCGCGCGTGGGCCTTTTTCTACTCAGGTCACTTAGCCCATAGACCTTTATTGAAATACAAAATCATAGTGCATTGTGGTCTAGCTTCGACACAAACAGCTCCATATTTGGCAACATGAGCAAAAGATGTTTGTATCGAATCTAGACCACAATGCAATGCAAACTGCTATCTCAGAAAAGGCCTATGTCCATGTCATGATCATATTTATTMTATATTTTGCTTTAAATATAGGTTTCTGTGACTGCAAAGGAAGATGTTCCACCGTTTGGGCCTAAACTGCCCAACCCAGCAGTTTTTAAAAAGGTTTGTTCATATCAAATTGATCGTTTTTAACCATT